ATTTAACACAGTTCCAGTCAAAATCCCAACAAGTTATATTGTGGATAGAGACAAAATGATTCTAAAGTGGAGAGACCAAAGACTCAGAATAGCCAAGGCAACATTGAAGGAGAAGAACAAAGTTGGGGACTTCAAGACTTACTATAAAGCTACAGTATTCAAAACAGTGTGCTATTGATGAAAGAACAGACAGATCAGTGAAACAGAATAGAAAGTCCAGAAATAGACCCACACAAATATACTCAACTAATCTTTGACAAAGGGGAAAAGAATTCAATGGAGAAAAGATTGCCTTTCCAATAAATGGTGCTGGAACAACTGGATATCCACCGGCAAACAACAAACAAACAAAATGAACTAGACACAGAAAAACATTATATCCTTCACAAAAAAAATCCAAAATAGATTACTGACCTAAATGTAAAATACAAAACTATAAAACTCCTAGAAGATAACATAAGAAAACTTAGATACCTTAGGTATGGTGATGACTTTTTAGATACAACACCAAAGGCACAGTCCATGAAAGAAATAATCAATAAGTTGCACTTAAAAATTTCTGTTCTGTTAAAGACACTGTCAAGATAATCGGAAGATAAACCGCAGACTGAGAGAAAATATTTGCAAAATAACTTGTCTGATTAGATTGTTATCCAAAATATACAATGAACTATTAAAACTCAACAATAATAAAACAACCCAGTTAAAATATGACCAAAAGACCTTAAAAGACACTACACCAAAGAAGATAAATAGATAGCAAATAAGCTTTTGAAAAGATGGCTCAATATCATGTCATTAGGGAATTGCAAATTAAAACAATGAGATACTACTACACACCTCTTAGAATGGCCAAAATCCAGAACACTGACAACACTAAATGCTGATGAGTATGTCTGCAACAGAAACTCTCGTTCATTGCAGATGGAAATGCAAAATGGACCAGCCACTTTAGAAGATAGTTTGGCAGTTTCTTACAAACTAAACATACTCTTACCATATGAATCAACAATTGTGTTTCTTGATTATTTGCCCAAATGATTTGAAAACCTATATCCATATAATATCCTGCACACAGATATTTATGGTAGCTTTTATTTCATAGTTGCTGAAACTTGAAAGCAACCAAGATATTCTTTAATAGGTGAATAGATAAATAAACTATGGTACATCGAACAATGAAATAGTATTCGGTGCTAAGAAGAAATGAGCTAATAAGCTGTGAAAAGACATGGAGGAAACTTAAATGCGTATTGCTACGTGAAAGAAGCCATACATACTGTATGATCCCAAGTATATGACATTTGGCAAAGGCAAAACTATGAGACAGGAAAAAGATCCGTGGTTGCCAGGGCTTCATAGGGGTGTGGGGTAGGGATGAATAGGCAAAGCACAGAGGATTTTTAGGGCAGTAAGACTATTCTATATAATACTATATATAGAATAATATATAATACTATAACGATGGATACATGTCATTGTATGTTTGTCCAAACCCATAAAATGCACAACACCAAGAGTGAACCCTAACGTGAACTATGAATTTTGGTGATAATGATGGGTTTGAAGATTTTAACAAATGTACCACTCTAGTACAGGATATTGATAGTGGGGAAGGCTGTGTATGTGTGGGGGTAAAGTATATATAGAAACTCTCTGGGTTTGGGATGCCTGGGTGGCTCAGTCTTTAAGCATCTACCTTCGGCTCAGGTCACGACCCCAGGGTCCTGGGATCGAGCCCCACATTTGGCTCCCTGCTCGACAGGAGGCCTGCTTCTCCCTTTCCCTCTGCCCCTTCTTGTGGTTCCTGCTCTCGCTATCTCTCTCTGTCAAATAAATAAATAAAGTCTTAAAAAAAAATAAAAGAAAGAAAATAAACCCTCTGTGATTTTTTGCTCAATTTTACTGTGAACCTAAAACTTCCCTAAAAAATAAAGTCTTAAAAAAAGGAGTGTATTTCTCCCCTATGCCTGAAAGGAATTTTACGAGGGATATTTATAGGCCGAAAGTTGTAGCCCTTCTTTACTCCACTATTTCTGCTGAAAAATCAGCTGTCAGTTTGGCAGTCCTTTGATGGTAACAACTCTTCTCTTTTCTGGCTTCTTTTTGTCTTTGGTATTCTACAGTTTCACCATGTTATGTCTAGGTACGTATCCATCCATTCCTTCTTACCTTGTTTGGGATTCATTGGTTTTCTTGTGTCATAGAATTTGTTCTTTCCTTCTTTCCAGAAATAATGAATAATTATTTTCCTGTTTGAATAATTTCTGTCTGAATAATTTCTTTTCCCTTTCTACTTTCTTCTTAAACTCCAAGTGGAAGTTTTGAGACTCTTCCTCTTCCCAAAAATAAGCTTCTTACAGTCACTTCGTCTTTATCAAAAACCATAGTATAAATATATTCTGTGCAGGAGTTTCTGGACTTGCCCTTATAATCCACCTGGACGATGATCTTCCTGAATTGTCCTCTGTTGTGAAAAGACAATTGCTTAGAGTTTTAAAAAAATACAATAGCACAATATAAGGTTTTACATTGATGAATTCATTGGTGGTACTCATGGCAACCTGATTCTTAGCAATATGGCCAAGGTCTCAATTATCCATAATATAATTGAAACTTGAAATGATCCAGCCTTGTTGGTCATAGAAAATGAAAGAATGTTCCATGATGGAAAAGGAGTGAGTAGTGTCACCAGTCAATGCTGTCTGCAGATTTTTTATGTAATTACTGGGAATTTGAGCCATCACATATTGATAAGGAGTTTCTAGGACTGCCAATGTATGGTATGAGTATGAAGTTAATTTTTAAAAGGGATTTACAATTCACATTTATCATTTGACTTTAAAAAGCCTCCTTTTCACTCCTTAATAAAGAGACACGATGACTAATCTGCTAGTCATAGGCCTGTGAAGTCATAAAAAATAAGGAAATGGATAAGCTGATTCATAGCTAGTGAAAGTCCCCATCTGGAAATATTTGAAAGATTGTTTATTAGAGTAAATATTCAAATGCCTCTGCTTTGGTGTATTTCTTAACATTTGGAAGGAACATATCCTGAATGAGAACCCGTAGGTAAGTATGTGGGAATAGCATTCAGTATGGCTGCATCCATTTTTGCCAGATCACCCTGTAAAATGAGTGAAACCTGCTATTGCCAGAGATCTCAGTTTTGCCAAGAACTTGCAATAGCAGGAAGCATGGGCAAGCTGTGAACCCTCAGTATATTAAAAAACAGTGGCATAATGCAGTTACTTTTGCCTTAGTAATCTTGAGCAAGAAAAACTAATCAGCAGTTTTAAGCAGGCTGGACAGGATGGGAGGAGAGTGAGGGTGCCATTTGTTTACATGGAACAGCTTGAAAATAAAATAATCCTGGAATATATACAGAATACCATTCCAGCTGATATTTGTTGCCTGCCTACTCTGTGCAACTCAGTTCCAGTTCTCATAGCACTTGCATTGGTCACAGAAAGGATCAAGAGTAATTACAAGGGCAGCCTTGGAAAACAACAAACAAGTAAAACTCTTAAGTTTAACACAACATTTACTGAGAGCTTATATGTTGCATGCACTGACTGTGCTCTGCATTAGGAATAAAGAAGAAAAAGGCATGGCTCCACCCTCATGTAATCATATGAACTAATGCAGTCATATAAATCAATTTAAGACATGCTATTCCACATTTCCTGTCACATTGCGAGTTGACTGTACCTTGGCGTGTGAGCCAGATTTGCCACACCCTGATTAAAAAAAAAAAAAAATGAGGCTGCTCTTTCCCCTAAGCGGCCTGAGGTGACCTCTGAAAATGGTTCACTATTCGCTTGACCCAGAAAACCCTACGAAATCATGTAAATCAAGAGGTTCAAATCTTCGTGTTCACTTTAAGAACACACGTGAAACTGCCCAGGCCATTAAGGGTATGCATATCCAAAAAGCCACCAAGTATCTGAAAGACGTCACTTTACAGAAGCAGTGTGTGCCATTCCGTCGCTACAATGGTGGAGTTGGTAGGTGTGCCCAGGACAAACAGTGGGGCTGGACACAGGGTCGGTGGCCCAAGAAGAGTGCTGAATTTTTACTGCACATGCTTAAAAATGCAGAGAGTAATGCTGAACTTAAGGGTTTAGATGTTGATTCTCTGGTCATTGAGCACATCCAGGTGAACAAAGCCCCCAAGATGCGGCGTAGAACGTACAGGGCTCATGGTCAGATTAACCCATACATGAGCTCTCCCTGCCACATTGAGATGATCCTTACTGAAAAAGAGCAGATTGTTCCTAAACCAGAAGAGGAGGATGCACAAAAGAAAAAGATATCCCAGATGAAACTGAAGAAACAAAAACTTATGACCCAGGAGTAAATTCTGCAGAATAAATGCAAATAAAAAAAAATGAGGCAGACGTTGCTTTTGACAGAGAAAGCTCCTTTGTGAGGTCCTGGTTCTTGGGAAAAGGTGTGCCTCACACCTGATTCAGTTCTCAGAGACAGGGAGAGGAAGCTGGAAATGCTTTTCCAGGGAGACTGTACTGATGAGGCAGCAATCAGTCATCAATCCCCAAGAAACAAAGAGCCTTTGATTTCAGTGTCAGCTGCAAGGCCATACTTGCTGGTGCTTCAACTTACGCTGCCCAGACTACCAGATAAAGTTCATTGCCACTCTCTTCCTCGCCAACAGTAAGCAAAAGCAGGAACTTCTGAGAGAGAAATGCTTGCCCAGAAGCAGGGGAGAAGTTGGAAGAAGGTTATATGGTTTTTGTTCTTTGTTGTTGTTGTTGTTGTTTTTCTTTACTAAGGAATGACAAAGCAGTATGCTCCATGTTCCATAAAATCTTCAAAAACGGAGCTTCTAAGGAGGGAATAGAGAACCGACCAATTAGCATTCCAATTAAATGAAAGTATAAGTACAGACTTTCTTATTCATAAAATCTTTTGTTTTCTCATTTCCTGGCTTAAAAATGTTTTTCAGATTGCTGTCCATATAAATGAAGAACACGTTGAAACCTTTCACAAAGATCTCGCTTTTACACTGGACACATTGGCTTCACCAAGTTTACCCAAGATAGATGATGACCTAAAAGGTATGTTCATTTTCTCTATCTGGCATTTTCTGCCAAAGCTGTTGTTCTTTCTATTTTTCATTGCTTATTCTTTCTTTTTGGTATCTATAAAGATGATGTGACAAGTATGTAGGACATTATGGCAGGAAGTACTAATATGGTTTATTTGAGGTCAGTGCATGGCAAGAACTGGATGTGACATACAGGGCAGCGCTGGGGGTGTAGTTCATTAAAAATACTGAATATAATAGTCTCCCCCTTATCCATGGGGTATAAGTCCCAAGATCCCCACTGGATGGCTAAAATTGTGAATAGTACTGAACATTTTTATATACTATGTTTTTTCCTGTACCTACATACCTATGAAAATTTAACTTATAAATTAGGCACAGTAAGAGATTAACAATAATAATAATAAAATAGAATAATTATAACACTATACTGTAATACAAGTTATGTGAATGTGGTCTCTCAAAAATCTTACTGTACTGTACTCACCCTTGTGACGGTGTGAGATGATAAAATGCTATGTGATGAGATGAACTGAGGTGAATGATATAGGCATTGTGATGTAGCATGAGATACTATTGACCTTCTGAAGGTACATCAGAAGGAGAATCACCTGCTGCTGGATGGTGGGGTTTACTGCGGGAAATGGAAACCAAGGAAAGGGAAACCAGGGGTAAAGTCGGGGACGACATGTCCCCATGAACTGAGATTCATGGAGAAAATGGTGAGCCTACAATTCCACTTGGTCTCTCTTCTCTTTCTTAATGAGAGGATCCAAGCAAATGTAAAGTCTATTATTGCATAAATCAAGGATATGCCCGTACAAGTGGAAGGCTGGAGAGATAACATTTCAGAAAAATGATCTTATCCTAGGTAGGGGAGGAGATCTAACACTCTAGGGAAGGTAGGAAGAGCACATAAAAGATTATTGTCATGGAAAACAGTCATGAATAGAATATTTGAATCAGAAAGAGAGGGACAGCTTTGGAAAGTTCTCAGCCTTTTAGAGACTTAGCTTCAGGAAACTAAAATAAATCCACAAGTCTACTCTGACTCGTTATGCTCCTCGCTAAGTTTGGAGCAGCTTCCAACATTTTATCCTTTGCACTTTCAAATGTTGTGAAATATTTCCGAGAAAGCCTTTTGGGTGAAGGTTTTTTTTTTAGCAGGCATCATTTCCTCTGGGACTTCTCCATCTTTCAGGCACAATCACTTTCTCCATTTATGATGGTATGTTTGCCTTCACCCATCCCCTCTGGCTACATATACATCCACAGTGTCAACTTTCTCACCATCAGCTCTCTCTTCTGAAATTCCATTTACAGTTGATTCAATTTTACTTCCCTGCTGTCAGTTATGGTTTCTTTACTACACTCTAATTTTTCTTGGCCAATTCTCCCAAGGATCCATTTTTTCAAAACATCATGGGAGATAAGGAGGCAAGACAACTACACACTTTGCCATGTGTGAGTGAAATTAATACTTATTTAATTATACCCACTTGACATATCATGGTAACTGAAATTGGAACTGTGTTGTTGGGGAACTGGTGTTAATCACCTAAATCTTGGTAACCAAATTTTGTGCATATTGGAAATGTGCAAAGTGAGGACTTCCTACATATTCAAAGGGTTTACCTTATAACTGCCCATGTGCTACTTGGCCCAGTTTTAATTTTTGTATGTTTACGAAATTTGCTTTAAGGATAATTCAAAATTGAGGATATTTTTCCCGACTTGTTGGAATGGTTTTCTTACTAATTCATTTTAAGGAGGTCTTACTGGTTTTGTTATTCTTTACCTTTATCTTGGTGAACTGTATTGCATGATTCCCTGCATTAAATTAAATGCTGTTTGACCTTAATGAGTATCTATAAAATTTTGGTTTCCCATGAAAATGAGGTGTAGAATTAGAGTCTAAACAAAGAGTTATTATTCCCACAACATCATCATAAAAAGAAAAACTGAAATATTCTGCTTCCCATTTGCTAATTGAGGCTGTAGGTATTTAACTTTTTAGCAGTTATATAGGTACACTCATTTAGAATGGCACAAATATCTTATTAGAAAGAAAACAATAGGCCCAGTCCAAAACCCTTGGGAAGCAGCAAAAGTGGTCATAAGAGGGAAATATATAGTAATACAGCCCTACCGCAAGAAGCAAGACTTCTTTGAAACTTCACATACACAACCTAAACTTACACCTAAAGGAACTAGAAAAGGAACAGCAAATAAAGCCTAAAGCCAGCAGAAAAAGGGAAATACTAAAGATTTGAGCAGAAATAAATGATACAGAAATAAACAAACAAACAAAAAAACACAATAGAATAGATCAATGAAACCAGGAGCTGGTTCTTTGGAAGAATTAGTAAAACTGATAAACCCCTTATAAAACTGATAAGCCAGTCTTATCAAAAAGAAAAGGAGAAAGGACCTAAATAAATAAAATCATGAATGAAAGAGGAGAGATCATAACCAATACCACAGAAATACAAAGAATTATGAGAATATTATGAAAAATTATGTGTCAACAAATTGGGCAATCTCTAAGAAATGGACAAATTCCTAGAAACATATAAACTACCAAAACTGAAACAGAAAGAAATAGAAAATTTGAAAAGACCCATAACCAGCAAAGAAACTGAAGCAGTAATCAAAAATTTCCCAACAAACAAAAGTCCAGGACTAAATGGCTTCCCAGGGGAATTCTACCAAACATTTAAAGAAGAGCTAATACCTATTCTTCTCAAACTGTTCCAAAAAATAGAAATGGAAGGAAAACTTCCAAACTCATTCTACAAGGCTAGGATTACCTTGATTTCAAAACCAGATGAAGACCCCACTAAACAGGAGAATTATATGCCAATATCCCTGATAAACATGGATACAAAAATTCTCAACAAGATACTGGCAAATCAAATCCAACAGTACATTAAAAGAATTATTCACCACAGTCAAGTGGAATTTATTCCTGGGCGGCAAGGGTGGTTTAATATTTGCAAATCAATCAACGTGATACACCATATTAATCAAAGAAAAGATAAGAACCATATATGATCCTCTCAATAGATTACAGAAAAAGCATATGACAAAGTGCAGCATCCATTCTTGATAAAAACCCTCAACAAAGTAGGGATAGAGGGAGCATACCTCAACATCATAAAGGCCATATACAAAAGACCCACAGCTATTATCATCCTCAACAGGGAGAAACTAAGAGCTTTTCCTTTACAATCAAGAGCAAGACAGGGATGTTGTCTCTCATCATTGTTATTTAGCATAGTACTGGAAGTCCTAGCTTCACCTATCAGACAACAAAAAGAAATAAAAGCCATCCAAATCGTTAAGGAAGAAGTCAAAATTTCACTATTCACAGATGACATGATACTCTATGTAGAAAACTGAAAGACTTAACCAAAAAATTGCTAGAACTGATACGTAAGTTCAACAGTCACAGGATACAAAATCAACGTAATGAAATCTGTTCCATTTCTATACACCAATAATGAAGCAGCAGAAAGAGAAATCAAAGAGTCGATCCCATTTACAATTGCACCAAAAACCATAAGATACCTAGGAATAACCTAACCAAAGAGGTAAAAGGACTGTACTCTAAAAACTATAGAACACTCATGAAAGAGAACACTCATGAAAGAAATTGAAGATGACACAAAGAAATAGAAATACTTCCATGCTTGTGGATTAGGAGACCAAATATTGTTAGAATGTCTATACTACCCAAAGCAATGTACACATTTAATGCAATCCCTATCAAAATACCACCAGCATTTTTCACAGAGCTAAAACAAATAATCCTTAAATTGTATGGAACCACCAAAGACCCCAAATAGCCAAAGCAACCATGAAAAAGAAAAGCAAAGCTGGAAGCATCAGAATTCTGGACTTCAAGCTTTATTACAAAGCTTTAGTGATCAAGACAGTATGGTACTGGCACAAAAACAGACATATAGATCAGTGGAACAGAATAGAAAACCCGGAAATAGAGCCACAACTCAATGGTCAACTAATCTTTGACAAAGCAGGAAAGAATTATCAATGGAAAAAACACGGTCTTTTCAGCAAATGGTGTTAGAAAAACTGAACAGCCACATGCAAAGAAATGAAACTGGGCCACTTTTTTACACCATACACAAAAACAAATTCAAAATGGATTAAAGACCTAAATGTGATATAGGAAACCATCAAAATCTTAGAGGAGAACACAGGCAGCAACTTCTTTGACCTCACCTGTAGCAACTTCTTACTAGACACATCACAGGAAGCAAGGGAAACAAAAGCAAAAATAAACTATTGGGACTCCATCAAGAAAGAGAGCTTCTGCACAGGAAAGAAAATAATTAACAAAACAAAAAGGCAACCTACAGAATGGGAGAAGATATTTGCAAATGACATATCTGATAAAGGGTTAATATCCAAAGTCTATAAAGAACTTATCAAACTCAACACCCCCAAAAAACAAATAATCTAGTTAAGAAATGGGCAGAAGACATGAATAGACATTTTTCCAAAGAAGACATCCAGATGGCTAACAGACACATGAAAAGACACTCAACATCACTCATCATCAGGGAAATACAAATCAAAACTACAGTGAGCTATCACCTCACACCAGTCAGAACGGCTAAAATTAACACACAGGGAACAACAGATGTTGATGAGGATATGAAGAAAGGGAACCCTCTTACACTGTTGGTGGGAATGCAAACTGGTGCAGCTGCTCTGGAAAACAGTATGGAGTTTCCTCAAAAAGTTAAAAATAGTACTGTCCTATGACCCAGCTGTTGCACTACTAGGTATTTTTCCAAAGGATACAAAAATACTGATTCAAAGGGGCACATACACCCCAATGTTTACAGCAGCATTATCAACAATAGCCAAATTATGGAAAGAGCCCAAATGTCCGTTGACTGATGAATGGATAAAGAAGATGTGGCGCACACGCACACACACACACACACTGGAATATTACTCAGCCATCAAAAAAACCCAAAA